GTGTGTGTGTGTGGTGTGTGTGTGTGTGTGAGTGTGTGTGTGTGTGTTTATATCATATATATATATATATATATATCACGTCTACACACACACCGATTGGGGATAGGCGACAACACAGCAGGCAACGCGGCTCATAAGACAACCACACAGTCGCCTGATTGCCCAATGCGATCACTTACGAAGGTGTAATCCGTGCTGCTGGGGTGGAAGTAGTTGACTGCGGGGCGCGACACAAAGATGGGCTGCGGGGTCAGCGCTATCTTCACCTCTGCCAGTCCTGAAGGAGGGACGGGTATCTCTTTGCACACATTGACAATGGCCCTCTCCAGGTCAGTGTAGTTGGGCTGTTGGCTCAGCATGTACAGATGGGCCAGAATGTCCTATTAAAGAGGAGAAGTGAGGTATGGGCGGGGTACTATCAGTAAATAAATGCATAAGACAGACGAAACATAGTTTGACAACCATTTCTACACGTGTCACAGATAGATTGATAGTAGATACATACAGATTGCGCTTAAATCATGCCGCCACGCTTGATATTGGATTCGATCAGACACTATCGAGATTGATCTTCCGAATACGCACACGGCTGAATCAGAATTCGACACAACTAATACATCTTGATGGCACAGACAGCATCGGACTGTACAATCCACGCCCCAAAGCTTGACGAAGGTGCTGGACGATAAAAGATAGTCACCTGGCCCAATTTCCTAAGTCTAACACCAGAGAACAAACGTCTGTTGAGTTTCCTGGTTGTGGGTGGAGAGCCCACATCATGCGGGTATGCGGCGGAGCTATACGACTTAACAGATTACAACCCCTCGCGCATATTAACACAGCCGCAACAATAAGAACTACAGTCCGGTGTGTGTCCGATATTGTGCCTCTCTCAGCACGCATTGTATATACAAAATGATGAGAGTCTGACCTCTCATTCCCCTCACTCCGCCTTGCACCACTCGAACAAAAATAGAACATGGAACACACACACGCAAAATCACACTCTACACATATCCATATACAACATCATCAAGCTTCCACGCACCCCCAAACGTTGTACACTTCCCATCACAAGCTGCACGTATACGCGCACTTCAGGCTGGCTTCGTGCCCATAAACTGTCTATACTACTATATACATATGCTCGTATATTGTACCTTCAGGGTCAGAATAAGCGGCAGATGAGTCATGAGCGTCAGGCATTTGGGCAAGTATAGATCAACGGGTAGCTCAGTGACGGTCTCCCCACCGTTGACCTCTTTGTTGTGAGCCTCGTACATCCCTTCCAGCTGCACTCTGAGGGCCTTCTCAAGCGGCTCGTAGAACACCAAGGCCCCGCCATACATTCGTGCGCTGTATAGGGCACACAAGCGGGACTATTATAAGCACATATGTGCTGCAAGATCACAGGGGTTTGAAGTCCGAAACCCCTACATTCCTGTGCTTTATACAGCACAGAAGCAGGTATTCCATGAGCATATGCATGTAGCCATGTGATAAGCCATTCACACTTTCCCTTGTTTTGCACATGAACATATCTATGTGTATTGCCTTTATATCGTGCTCCCGATCGGTTTTCCGTTTGAGTTCTCAACCACTGTGCTCCATGAAACATTTGGCACCTCATGCAATGTGTAACTTCCATCGTAAAATCATTGTCCAATGACGTGTATGTCGGAAACCTGTCTCATTTGAGCGTACAAGTATATATACACCTGTCTAATTGGCATGTTTTCTCATATAAGCTGCTTTCTCATTTGAGCCCTACAATATATAAACACCTGTCTAGTTGGCATGTTTTCTCATATGATCTGCTTTCTCATTTGAGCCCTACAATGTATAATAGTTGGCATGTTTTCTCATATGTCTAGTTGGCATGTTTCTCGTAAAAGTTGCTCTCTCATTTGAGCCCTACAATATATAAACACCTGTCTAGTTGGCATCTTTTCTCATATGAGCTGATTTGAGTCCTACAATATACAAACACCTGCCTAGTTGGCATGTTTTCTCATATGTCTAGTTGGCATGTTTTCTCGTATAAGCTGCTCTCTCATTTGAGCCCTACAATATATAAACACCTGTCTAGTTGGCATGTTTTCTCATATGAACTGATTTCTCATTTGAGTCCTACAATATACAAACACCTGCCTAGTTGGCATGTTTTCTCATATGTCTAGTTGGCATGTTTTCTCGTACAAGCTGCTCTCTCATTTGAGCCCTACAATATATAAACACCTGTCTAGTTGGCATGTTTTCGTATATGAGCTGATTTCTCATTTGAGTTCTCCAATATACAAACACCTGCCTAGTTGGCATGTTTTGCCTTCAATAAAGCTCTATAACTGAACGCTCCATCGCTCTGTCAGCAACGTATTAGCGATACAGTAATGTAACATACAGCGAACAAGCGATCCGCAACTAATATGTGGGTGGTGTTAGGCATTCTTCAAAAGCCAAGAATAGGAAGCAGGGATGAGCCCTCGTTTAAAGGTGACAATTGCGTACCTCTCGTAGTACACGAAACTTTTAATCAAAGCGATATGGCTGTAACTTCGCTCTACAGCACCCAGATCTTCGGCATGGGTGTATACATAGATTGTGTCTGCGTGTGCGTGTGCGCATGCATACATATATATATATATATATATATATATATATATATTGTATATGTATATGTAAACAGATATTGTATCGAGATAAAAAAATATAGGAATAGAAGGAATCTAACACTAGAAGATTAACATAAACTATGATTGTAGGTGGTGTAGATGTCTCTCTATAAAGATTACAACTACACACTACATATATGATGCAATATTGCATCCATTAATGCCTTCATACCATTTCGCCCTACCTACATGTACGCATCTCAGAACGTATACAGAGGTATACACGCTAGTTGCTGGTCCGTTATTGAACATGTAAAGACAAGCATATGAACGCGATCGTAGACATATACATACCCTGTTTCGGTGGTGATCACAAAGGAATGGAATTTAGGCTGTTTATACTCCTTCGAGATCATAACACCTTCCGGAAAACAGAACGACAGTACCCTTGAAGGTATCAGTGGTGTCGCTGCATAGTCTTCCACGGGATATCTAAACAATCCCTCTGAATTGTAAGTCAAATCCAATGGAGGCAACTTCGTAACCTTGGGAACATCTAGGCCGCCTCCATCACCATTCTCACTCGCTTGCTTTCTCGCACTACTACTTTCTAACACATTCTTGTTTTCATTGGGGGTGTCCTTGATACTGCTTTTCCGCCCATTCTCTTTCATATGTAAGCTATTGTATGAGATGACCGAATGTCTCCGCGGCGGCAAACTATACGTATCCCCTTTGTCATCTCGGTCTTCACCACATATTTTTTCATCCTCGGGAGTGAGCCCGTGTGTAACATCAACACCGCCAATCAGGAAGTACTCTAGGAAACGAGTCGCCTCGACATCTGGCTCCATATCGAGTATCTATATAGCTATAGAAGTTAGATGTGCGAAGACTTACAAGAACTATAGACGTACCAGAGAACTATAAGCAGGAATACTCCTATTCCATGTGGGAAGCGATACAATGCTTCACTGTCCACGTACATACATCAGATACTGTCAGCATGATCGCTACCTGTATCCTTATTTATCATATATTGATACCGGAGTCATATTTGTATAAAAGACAATGATTATACCCCACAAGCAGATATAGATTAGATTGATTATGATATGAACTCTAAATTTTACACTTAAGCTTTTAGGGATAATTTGACCCTCAACTCGCGGACGCAGGTGCACGGATAAGAAAGATGAAGGCTCAAAGAGGACTTGGGCGGGTAATGTCCAATTTTCGACAAAAATTTATAAAGACGAACAGCCGAAATATAGTACAGATCTGTCTAATTGTAGGACAAACCTGATAGTTTCATCCATACTCGTTGGACAATATCGGATTTGAGGACCATATTTGATGGGTTTTAGAAACTATAGAGTGGATACACCGGGGTGATGACTGGTGACTGATGAGTCACTCACCTCAAAAGTTACGAGCCGTTGAGTGTGCGTTTGCGCTACATATGATTTGCAGAAGGAGAAAGGAACGTTTTACCTTAAACGTGTATTAAAATACCTGCAAGTAGCTCAGATACATACAAGCACACGTACTATGTAGATCATAAAGCACACTGCTTGTTGGTCCATACATTTGTATACCAGTAGCATGTTCTGACAGTATACCTATGAACACTAATCGGAATTTTGGCACGAGTGTACGGCGAACGTATATAGTAGTAGTGTTATGTGGTCATTGCAAGCACCTCTCGTTTGTGAAACAAACGTGACGTAGAGATTGCACGTAATTCAGTCCTAAACAACTGCTGTACGGAGCTCAGCTGTGTTTGTATTTAAGTGTGTAAGTTTGTAACGCAATGGTGAATCATATAGTTGTGTCTCCTGTTGGGACGGCTGCTAGTCTTAGCACAAGCGAAGACGTGGAAAGAATAGACGGAGTTGCCAAATGCAGTGCCCTGGCACATATAAACACCAAGAACAATCGCTTCAACTTGGATGACAAAGTTCTTATTTCCTTAGTTCCTTGCATACCTGTCGATCCGTCCAGCGCGCGACATAGACAGACCCGAAACTCTGTACCACCGCACGCGATCCATAGTATTGTGGAGAAGGAAACGGTTAACACAGGCAAGCCGAAACAGAAAGAAAAAGACGTAGTACCCGATGGAGTGAACGATAACGGCGGTGATGATGATGTATGCGAACGAGTGGTCAGAAATAACGCAAAGCGCGACGACGGCTTTCAGAAGAATGGTGCAGTAGAGGTATATACTGTGTCAAATTGAGAAACGTTCTGTGTACGTTATTGGTTTTAGTCTATTGTGCTTCTCTGTCCAATCCGTGTGCAAAGACATACATTTGAACTATAGCTGGTTGGCAAATGCCGTTTGCTTTCTGTCGTATGCTAATCAGAAAAATCTTCCGACGCATACATCTCTGCACACATAATATAATGTTTGCACATGTGTATGTGCAACATATTCGTAGGAATTCAAAAACCAACTCGAGTTCGTAGACACATTGACGCACACATAGAAGATAACTACGCAAACAGATAAAACCATATCGAGACAGAGGTTCAAGTGGGCACTGTGCCTGGTGGCCTGTATTATTCAATACACGTTCCTTGTAACTTGAGCATGTCACATCTGGTTTATAGTTGTTTGCACATTTGTATGTATTCTGTCCTGTGTTTACAGTTGTATACATGGAAATGATAGAAACATCGCAAGCTCACTACGGCCTTACTCTATGAATTAACATTTTTTATAAGTTCTTCAAACTGAAGCAAGCGAATTTTGAGGTGAATGTGAGTGGAAGGGAGTCTAGTTCATTATGTGTGTGCAGATTATATATCTCTTTCTAAGGTCGCTACATGAATAGCAGTGCACCTTTCTTTGCTGTGCCTTTTCTAATGGTGTGTGAGATTGTGCGCATAAAGAACCGTGTGCAAGATGTGTTTCGCGATAGGTTTTTGCTGCACGCATGTTTTTTCACGGCTATAATTCATCGTCTTCTATATGTATATAGCCATATTCATATGTATACTGTTGTTGCTAGTTGTAGCTTCGTTCCGTCGTTTCACACTCTACTATTGATGGCGAGAGAACTAATGCCTCCAAAGTAATATTATCTATAGAGAGAGAATATATGTGTGTGTGTGTGTGTGTGTGTGTCTCATACTCATTCTACTCAACGCATGAATACATTCATATATATGTCTGTGTCTGGGTCTGGGTCTGTGTTTTTGTCTGTGTGTATGTATATGTATGTATGTATGTATGTATGTATGTATGCACTTACGAGCATATACATATACATATAAACATGTGCATATACGTGCACATAAATTATATACATATACCTACATACTAATTTATATATATATATGTGTGTGTGTGTGTGTGTGTGTGTGCGTGCGTGCGTGCGTGTGAGCGTGTGTGTGTGTTTGTGTGGGTATGGGTGTGTACATATATGTGTATATGTGTGTGATATATATGTGTATGTAGTCATGTATATGTGAAATTATAGGTGGCTTCATTCATGTAGATATAAATATTCGCATGCCCAAGAGATCTAATGTTCACTTCTGTTTACCTGAATTTAATCCATCTTTCGTAACGATATCTGAATCCTTCTCGCGATTTCTCGTTTACCTGACAAGTGTACTCTCTCCAAGTGTATACATTAATAGGCGCATGCTTCATTGTAGGTTTGCTGCCTTGTATGCTGGCTGATCATATTAAGTTCCCTATCCATTCAGGTCTATGACGCGACAGACAAGCTGTGGTATCGGACTCGTATCATAGAAATAAATCGAGATCGCCGACCTCCCACCATTCGAATCCATTATCCGGGGTTCAGTAAAATCTTTGATGAAGATATATCGTTCTACAGCGCACGTTTGCGCCCGGCTGGCTCGGGTAGTGTTGCGCGGTCAGTGGGAGCTAATGTGCGGGGAGACTCCGCAACGAATACGCGGGTAAAGGCAAATAAAGAGGAGCCTCCGGCCGTCGCAACTACGAAAGCCGAACCTCACGGAAACAATAGTCTGGTAGCCCTGATTCGCCCCAGGAAGCGCACTATATCCAACACAAGCACAAACACAGGCAACAATCATGAAGCAAGCACTAGAGGGCGGAAGCAGGCACCATCTGTAGAACCTGAACGCAAGCATAGCGGTACCAATGGGAATGTACACGATAGCGGTAAGGGCTCGGCTGTTCCGGGTCCCAGCAGTGTTATGAGCCGATTTTTGTACAGTCGGAAGCGCTCGCGGGAACGCTCGGACGACTTCGACTCGGCACGCAACGCCCGCAAACGGAGTGCGAGCATAAGCAGTGCGGAGTTAACGAAGTCGCATGTTAGCAACGGTAGCAGCACGCATGACACGGTCAATGGACACTCTGAGAGCACGGTGGGTGCCAAACGGCCCAGGCGTACAGGGGCGGGTAGTGCGGCGCTGAAGAGTTTGTTCTCGTACGGACGGAACATGGGCGATGTGAAGATTGATCTGGAGGCATTGGAAGCGGAGGAACGGGAGAGGAACGGGAGTGAGAATGAGAAGCATGGCCCCGGTGAAAATGATAGTATTGCGCACAGAACACACGTGGTGCCTGGCAATCGGCCTAAGAGCAGTGGCGGCGGTTTGCGTGCGACTGGAGCGGGACACACTCGAGGCCAAGGCAAGCAGAGTATAGGCGGGAAGCCCAGGCAGCGGCACACCAGCACGAGTGAGAGCGTGGAAGGGGCCAACGATGCGGTGGGGAGACCGGTACGTGAGCGTCGCATGGGCAACGGGTCGTCTGCTCTGAATAGCCTTTTCTCGTACGGTCCAACTATGGGCGATGTGGTGATTGATTTTGCAGCGCTTGAAACCGAGGAAAAGGAGGCTGAGGAGAAGGCTGAGGAGCGTCGACTAAAAAAGCCCACGAGGCAAAGTGCCGAGAGTAAGGCTGTAGATGAGGGGAGTGGTCCGGATAGTACTGACATGCCGCAAGATGGTAGTAACAGCAGGAGAAAGGTTCAGTACACGAAGAACAACCGGGATAGCAAAGTTAAGGCCCGTGATATCAGGAATAGGATATCAGAGGGTAAGACATGCAAAGCCAGTGCACGAAGCCGCAGTCAGGACACCAGTAGCAGTACCAGTGCGGCGGTGAGTGACGGTGCGACTGAACGAGTACCCCGCGTGCGGCGACGCACCGGAAACGGGAGGGCTGCACTTAAGAGCCTATTCTCGTACGGACGTACCATGGGGGATGTTGTGATTGATACAACGCTACTGAAAGAAGAAGTGGACGACTCGGATAAGATCGATGCAAGTGGTAGCGAGGATAAAGAGAAGGGCCGGGGTTCGAGCAGGAGCAAGGTTGGTCGTGTGTCGTCGCAAGTGACTTCGGTCGGTGAGAAGGGCGGCTCAGCGCGCAGTGCACAGAACCGCAGTCAACCGCGGGGACAAGGCAATAAACACGAACGCAGCCTACACAAAGCAGGAAAAGCGTCGGAGAGTGGTCAGGAAAGTGAAGGCGGCGTTAGCGGCCGCAGGACAAGGTGCAAGCAGGAAATAGAGAGACATGCGAGAGACACGACTAGAGGTGCTAATGGTCGAGAAGACAGAACAGATGTGCGGGGACGGAGTGTCAGCGCAGATGCAAACGGTGTAGGTAAGGAGAGGGGGGGAGGGTTGGTGAGAGAGCGTGTGCAGCCCAAACGAGGCAGCTTAGGGGACGATGCGAAAAACTCGCTGTTCGTGGACCACCCCCCGTGGTGGGAGGAGACGGTTACCTTGGAGACAGGTTATGATCTAAGTGACGAGGAAGTCGGAGACGAAAATGAAGGCGATGGTGAGAGTTGTGACGAGAGTTTGACTATGAAGAAGGGACAGAGAACACGGACAGCTCGATCTATATCAACGAGCTCACTTACCCGTGGACGCAACGGCACGCACACACGTATACAAGCTCGATCCCGGCGGAAGGAAGGAACAAACACGGGCGGGAAAGCGAGAACACGCACACAGTCTGAAGCGGCTAGTGCCGGCGCCTCGAAGAGTGTGGGGCATAGCAGAACACGTACAAAAAGCGCAGGCGTCGAGGTTCAAGTGGACACCGAGCACAACACAAAGCGTAGTGAGCGGCCCAAACGGGGGTTGCTAGGTGACGAGGCGAAGAACGCGCTGTTTATAGACCACCCGCCTTGGTACGAAGCGACCATCACCTTGGATACAATAGATAAGCTTGGTGGCTTGGACGCTTTTGATGGTGACGTTGAAGGGGAGGAGGGAACGGTGGCGAAAGCTGGTTCACGTAAGAGCTCGCCACACGAAAGTGGCAGTGAAGTCGACTGTAAGAGTGGGAGTGGCACTGAAACGGACAGCGAGACCGAGAGCGATGAGTGCAGACCGGGACGTGGGTGCGCGGTAGCAAATAAGCGTGTACACGAAAGTGACAACAGCGAAGGTGCGGTTGAGAGTGCTGGTGCGCCGGAGGGTACGCGGGAAGGCGATTGTGCAAAGGGGGGCGCGGAGAGGAAAGCCATGGAGAGTCACAAGCAGAAGATCAAGGACTGGGCTTCCCAGGAACGTGGCACTGTAGGTACTAGTAGTGCATCAGATATGGTTGGAGATGTGCGGGATGGAACGTGCACAGAGCCATACAGTGGTGTTCACGGGCCAGAACAGAGCGCCGACGCTGGGGAAGGCGCGCAACAGGCGGGCAGGGGGGCGCAGCACGGCGAGGCACAGACAGCGGGGACGTCAGGACGTAATACGCCCAAACACGTACAGGAAACACGAACCGCCTCTGTAGACACACAGGCTGCTGCTGCTGCACCTGGGCCTGTGCTGACTAGTGCAAGCCCGACTGTGAGCGGTAACAGTCCAAGAGGAGATGAGCGGGTACAGTCTGAGGGCAAAGCTACAGGCAAGGTTGGAGTCGAGCCAACCTCACCTGTGGATGTGTCCGCGCGTCTTGCGAAGGTTTCGTCCAGGCCACACGAAAGTGGGCACGACCGTACAGCGGCTGAGGGCTATGGCGCCAACGAGGCGTGCTCGCGTGTAGTCGACAAAGTCAACGGGGATGTAGGTATAAATGACATGGATGTGGATGGAAAGACGAACCCTGTTGCGAATACGGACGCCAGTTCAATACTTCCCGAGGATTCGAGTCGTGCTTCGCCGCTAATTACAGAGGATACTAAATCGAAAAGCTCGACTTCCAATGCGAACAAAGAAATATCGAGTGCCACACAAGACATGGATGGTGCGCAGGCTGCGACTACAGCACATTTTGAGAATGTGAGCACGCAGGTAAACAATACAAATAGTGACGGTACTATCAGTATGCCACCTTCATCTGACCACCCGGCATGCAGCACCGACCCCCACAACGCTGCAAATATATCAAAATTGGGAACAGATGGAAACTGGACTAAGCAAGCTCCGCGGGATAGCAACTACACACCTGCTGTAGATGCTACGGCGGCCACTGCGGATGCTTCCACGACACTCGCAACCGACACGCCGCATGGCTGTGCAATCGGTGCATTTGGCACAGTGGCTGCTGCAAGCCATGAGGACGATGCAGTGGTGGAAGAGGGCTCATTGGACGGCACCTTAGCCAGCGTTAACCTCACGAGCCACAAACGTCACCACTGGACACCGCAAGCTCTGGCCATGGCCATGCAGGGCCAACATGTTGGCGGCCACGTGTTCGCGCGATGGGTGGATGGCGTGTTCTATCCCGTGCGCGTGGTAGGGGGGACTATGAGTGACACGGAATCAAATTCGGATCCTGCCTCTGTGGAGGTGTCTGTGAAGCCTTCTGTAGGGGTGTCTGTAACATCGGATAAGGCTGAGTTGGACAGGCGCCACAGTGATAGTAGAGGTGCGGCGAAACGTTTAGGAGAGAGTGTGTCTGGGTTATCCGAGTGCAGACACAGCAACAAAATAAGCGCAGCAAGCGGGTTGAAGCTTACTGCTGGTGACCAGGCTGCAGAGGCGAGTACGACTTCTGGGGCAGATACGAACGGTCGTTTGACTATTGGGGAGAGTGAGAAGGCTAACTCTGCCTTGAAAGTCAATGGTTGGCTGTACTACGACGTTGACTTCCGGCCTATTCTTGACAGTGCGGATAGTTTGGAGCCATTGCAAAAGACGGCATCACAAGACCGAAACACAAACATCAACGCCGCTCAGCAACAATCACAATTATCATCTCCTCCTCCGCTGCTGAAGCTACCCACTTATATTACAAACACGAACACAACCACTGATGCAAACATAAACACTACCACAGGCACAAATACGGCCACAACCACAGGCACAAGCACAAGCACAGGCCTAAACACAAATACAACCACAAACGCAATCGCGGCCAACTTGAAAAGCATGCATGTGAAGCGAGTTCCATGGACGGATATTATTGTGCCCGACGCTGCCCTGGAGGCCAAGGTCAGTGAGAACACGCGCCGAGATACTAAGCGAGGTATCAAACGTGCACGTGCTCTGCAACGGAACAAAGATGGGAGTCTGGATGGGCGCACGGCGGCGGCAAGAGCGCTGAAGATGAGCAAGCTGGGCAAAGGAGTCAGTGTAGGCACGTATCGCGCAGGGACTAGCAAGCACACCAAGGTGTGTGTGCCGAATGTAAACTCGCGCGGAGACGCTGATGCGAGCGCTGTGACGGCGACCAACGTTATTGGCGGCACGGATGAGGGGAGGAGCATGCGCATGCGGCGTAACACCACTGTGAGTGTTAGTGAAGGGGCGGAGAAGGAGACAGTTCCAGGACACCCCCGGCGCTCGGCTGGTGCTGTTGCTACGGGTACACCGACAGACGTGAATGGCAGCGGTGCGGCGAGTGTGAGTGGGGGCGAGGCTAGGAGGCCTGCTCGAGAGAGGGGTGTGGGGAAAAGTGGTGGTGCTGGTCAGAAGCTCAGACAGTCACGACTGGGTGCTCAACAACCTGCCGGTGCTAGTGAGCAGGAGGCGGCTGTGTTGGCAGTCGCTACTTCTGGTATTAAGCCAGCAACGGGAGAAATTGCCACAGATGGCGCAGTAGTCAAACCTCAGAGTGCAGGTGAGGATAGTGCGAGCACGCGTGGTAGCCAGGGTGTGGCATCACAGGCTCCAGCAACAGGCGTCTATGGGACTAAACGTCCCGTGCGCACCCGCACACAAGGTATAAAAAGACCGAGCGACGCGGCGAAGAAGGAGCCGATGGCAGATACCTCCGCTACTGCAGCTGCTGTGGCACATGCAGCAAGTCCCGCTGTCCGGGGGAGGCGCGTGAGCAGGTCTGTATCTGAGTCTAGCACACACAGGGCTTCGCGCGAGCATAGCAGTGGCAAGCACGCTCGTGCGCAACCCAAAGCGAAGGGGGCTGCGGATGTGAGCTCAAAAGCCGACGCCTCGAGCCTTAGTAGTACTGCCGCTGCGAGTACAGTTGGTGGTGCGAATGGGGAGGTTTCCACATCTGATAGGAGGGTATCGGGTAAGAGTGTGCTACCTCATCTGCCTGTGCTTATGACTAGTCGTGGTAAGATTGACGGACGGTCATCGGCGGCGAGAGGGGCGAGTATGATCGCGCGGGTGAGTGCAATGAACGCCCGTGCGAGTGGCAGGGGAGCACGTGCGGGGGGGCAGCGCAGCAGACAGTCCAGGCACATGCAACAGGCAGCAAAGCATACAGCTGCCGAGACGCAGACAGGTGCAGCGCGCGCTACCAGTACACACCTACGGCACAGACACAGCAGTGTGAGCAGCCAGAGCAGTGCATCTGGCAGGCAGGCTGCGGGCAAGGGTCTCGAGCTCGATAGGGAGGTAATAGCTGTGAGTATGCTGAGTGGCACAGGTGGTCGAGTGAGGAGCAGACATAGCAAGGATCTCGCCTGGGGATCAAATGCGGGTGGTGTGAACGACAGTCTGCGAAGTGACGGACCTCTGAACATGCGCCGGACTAAGAGCGAGGCTGTAGCTAGCTCGAATGACAAGTCGGGAGCTGGCGCAAGCTATAAGACCAGCACAGGTACGTGCGCAGCAACAGATATGGACACACCTTGGAGCGCAGCCACGAGTCGGAAAACGAGTACACACAAGCCCCCGATGGTAGAGCGACATGTGCAGTGCATGTGCGGAGGGGTGGCCATTGTAGGGAAAGGTATGCAGTGTGCCACGTGTGAGCACTGGTCGCACGATGCGTGTGTGCAGCTGAGTGCGCGGGCGCGCCAATCAGCTACGACGCGAGCGGAGATCAGCACGGGTACCAGGTCCGCCGTGGCAAGTCCATTCACGTGCTTCAGATGTGTGCGAGTGCCCAATCCGTTGCTGTTCCGCGCAGAAGAGGTATGTTGGATCGATTGAGACAGTGGGGTGATGATCATCTGCTGTGAACTCTCCCACCTTCTAGCGCTAAGCAGTTTGGTATTGCGATCTGAGTTTAGATTTTGTTAAGGGGTTGGGGTTTGGCTGCACTTTCTGTGCATGTTTCGCGTATATGAATTCAGTTATTAGAATCACAAAACATGAGAGATTCCTCTACGTAGGTTTTTGCCCCCAGTTGTCGACTTGCTGTGTCGTTTATTAAATTTCTCGTATCAAACATTCTATGTCCATCGAAGCGTTTCGATAAGAAGTCGTCATTGTGAATGTTTTGTCTGGCATGGTGCCCTGTAGGCGAACGTCGGCTGCTGTTATGAGTTACTGTATATCCGCTGAAATCGCGATTTTAGCCTTGCCAACTTTCAATTGGTGATTTGTCGAATTTATATCGATCTGGTATTGTGCTTATTGAGTTGGCCGATTGATTTGTATCCTTTCCACATTCACTTCGAATCATGACGCTTTACGCCAGGATAGGCGATCACTTTTTAACAGTTGTATGCATGCCCGTGTATAAACATTGAGTATTTTAAAAGTCCCTATCAAAAGAGTCCTACTTGTTTTTCAAAATTCAAGACCGCGACAGTGGGAATATTTGCAGAAAGTATGCCTATCATCGTAACCGAGTTTTTTAATGTTTAAACAATCCTTGTATCCAAAATGTATACCAATCCTCGCCTCCAGATACTCTCAGAGGATTTGCTGCCAGCATGCGCGACGGCGGCACAGCTGCGCTCGTCTGTGCTCAACGAAGGACAGGCAGTCCATCGCGCGGGCGCAAAGTCAAGTACAAACGTCATGCCCGCGCAGAAGCCTTCGCATATCCGCTCGCAAATGTCTGAGCCCCCCATGCAAGGCCATCCACATGCGTCGAAGTGCAGGCTGGATGGGCCGCGATCGATGACTGAGTTGGGCTTAGCTTTGCCACAGACATATGCACAGACGACTGGCGCTGAAGCACACGGCCAACGGCTAGATAGCGGTACTCCGCGCGAACTATCCCAGAAACTGGGTGAGAAATCCCTGGGTAGTACGTGCACCGGTGTGACCGCGCCAAGCATTCCGCCGCAAGCGTGTGCACACACACACAGTCCTGGAAGCGCATCCGCAAACGAGGAGCAGCCCGTTCGTGGGCCGGAACCACCTCCATCGAGGACCGTTCCATTCACGCAATCGACCCAGACATTGAATTTGGCACCGCATTCCGGCAACTCGGCTTCAGTCTTGGCTACTGCCACTGCCAACGCGTGTGTGAGTGTTCGTGAAGACGAAGCACCACAACGACGGTCCTTTGACCACACATCTAGTCCAGGAATAGGCCTGGGTGCAGGAATGGTCAGACCACTTACTACTACTATCAGTAGCGATCATGCCGTCCCCGTTACAGATGCAGGTCAAAACTATTCAACAGCTACACATATTGCACCGTTCTCTGGGGAATCAAATGCTGGTCAGACGTCGGCCGGAGGTATACGCACAAAGTGCGACGATCCGATTAATACTCTGCAAACAACCAGCAACATCAAAGATGAAGATGATACGTGGGATAGCACTCTACCGAGAAACCCGGGGAGCGGACCGGAGTATATAGCTCAGAAGGATTTGACTGAGATTGCTAGCGCCGTGCGTGTTGATCTGGCTTCACGAGTAGCAGAAACATCGCCGACCGGAGATTGTGTACGAGCGGATGCGATGTCAAGTGTAAATGCTGGCGATAATTCTAAGACGTATACGCCTAGAGCTGTGTATAACTCGCAAGCTACTCCTGCGGTGACCGATTTAGTACACACAAGAAGTGTGAAATCCGCGCAATCTGACGATGGTTTTCTTGGGAACCGTGAGAGCTTCTCGTCGTCACCTTCTCCACCCATACCTCTCTCACCCACCCCCTCACCCTCACCCACTCAATCACCAGCAGTTGTATCTTCTGCTCCATTCAGAGCGGAATCCGTTTGCAGTGATATCACGATGCTGGCAAATACGCTTGTACTACAACCTGATATGAGTACTAGGCAGCGTACAATTGCAGCCGACGGTTCAGGGGTTGCTGAATTTGTGGACGCAGAATCGGACAGGACAGCGACAAGCGATCTCAGAAAAGTACATCTTCAGCGTGCAAGCACCTGGCAGGCATACAACCTCGCCAAGTCCCGTCTACGCCCTGTTACCCTGGCTGTGAATGCCTGCGCGCATCAGTTGTCTCGGTATGTTGTGGTGTATTCTTCTGTCGGAGGGAGTAGTCTACCTCGTATCGTAGTTTGTATGTATTGCGTATACAAAGCTGCACAATTTCAGCTGATTATCGAATTCCAAAACACGACTTAAGTGTATAAGTTATCTAGATGTGTTATTGAATGGCGATCAATACGTGCGTGTGTCTCTGATCATTGTGCATCAACATCGGACTGTCTGTGCAAGCAACACGTGTGAGGTTTTGAACAATCCACCGGTAGAGGCAACGAATTACGCACGCAAAACGAATGTCTATTGAACCAGACTACCTTTACCTTGCTACGTCTAAATACCATATATACCTATGCTCTGTTGCATTACACAGGTGTAGGAGTGCTTTGCTGTCACTGCCGGAGACTGTCGATATGTCACCGCAACTAGCGGGATCTTCTGTTGAGCCAATCGTCTCAGATTCTGCGTATTCTCAGTCACAGTCTGCTGCACCAATCGAGCAGTCATCGTCGCTTATAAATGAGCGAGGAATGCCGGCATGTGATAGAGCACCACCGAAGCAAAACACTCCCCCACCATCGAAGCTGAATTCGGCTGACTATGTCAGTATGCTTGAACAGATCGAATATTGGCAGGAAACACTGTTACAAAATCTAGAAGACACTCGGGGTTTAATCTCCCCGATATAAATTCTCAGTCACGTTTAGTGCATGAGCCTCGTTTATGTCATCAATAATCGGGGATGTATTGATTTCCGGATTTCATATGCGGATGCGAAAGACTAAGCATCTGCGCGCACACCTCGTCTGCTGGCTCAACGCGTTCACGTGAACACTGTACACTGGAACGACACTTCAACGACAGATTCGCATGCCATCAAGTGAACGAAATATATATCTAGCTATTTCAATAGGCAAATACACACAAGAGGGCATAAGCGCAATAAATAGTCTTAAAAATGTTTTGCAAATTGTGCATAATAGTCTAACGTTTCGCGAATAAAGGCACACAGACTACTCATATTAATCGCGCACCTAATTATAAAAATAGCGATATAGTGCTAAAAGGGAGGCCAATGGAGTTCCCATGCTATGGTGCTGATGAAGAATGCCGATTTAAGAATGATGGGAACTTCATATCGCGATGTATCAACTATTCATACTTCGACGCTCAGCTCGGAACTTTATATATTCCTACAGCCAGAGTAGATATTCCAAAGAGTATCACGCATATCAATAGATGAAGTTTCATGCTCAAGTATGATTCCAGTGTGAATTGATAAAAGGTCAAATTTGACTGTAACTTAATACCCAAGTCGATTCCAAATCGATTTTTGTTTCTGCTATCTCCTTCCTGCTATTTACACTTTACATTGAAAACCCCTAAAACCCTGCCTGTGAGTCACTGGGCCGCTCCTACTTCCTACTACATTTTGGACCGTTAGTATGTACCGTCTAAATTCCCGAGAAATGACAAGTCGGCCACGTCCTGGGCACATACTGACTACGGCCTGACCGGTTGGCCACGCGCTGGCTCCACAGTGGCAACTTCTGGCTCATGAAATTAGGGTTTAGGACGTGTAAAAGGACTCGCTGCAGTCATATGTATTCAAAGTAAAACAGCCAAACTGTGCATACATACAAAAAGACTTCTCAACTGATAGCGTACATACAGATATATAAATATTTACATTAACGGTGCATTCTATTCCTGGTAATAAAGCCCGCTCTAATCATTTTCGGCGCAACGAGGAGATCAAACTTGGTAGGCCTTTTTTTAAAAAGGCCCCCCCTACGCGACCAAACAAAAATGTGGGAAGTGGGGGGTGGAGACTGTGAACTGTGGTGTCCTTCCTGACTTCCTCCTACTTTTTATTTGGAAAATTATAGCAGAAACAAAAGTCGATTTGGAACCGCCCAAGTTTGATTTGCCAAAGTGTATAGGGAAAGGATCGATCTCGATTGCAGTTTTACTTTGACTCTGTGTCAAGATGTGCACATTGTGTTTACAGACATAAGGTAGTATGTGGTGTGAATCAGCGCAATTGCTTTAATATACTATTTTCTGAAAGCTAGTCTACGTAGAGATCGGCTCTCTCGATTAGGATAGCACACAGTTCGCTTAACCTGATATGGTAGTTACATGTGCAGATTTGTATTGTGATGAGAGTTTTTATGTATGCACATCTCTGTGAGTTTAAATCGCATAAGCTCTCGGTAAACTTCGATGGCGGAGAAATGGCTGCCTCGTCCCATCAACTCTGGCCGCCGATCGTATACATCACATCCATATGCATCGTGAATACGCACTGCATCTCAGAACCTCACGCGATGCGCTTATCTAGGTTGAACGCAAATGTGCCATTCTTCTTGCGTTGCTGATTCTTGCGGATGCAGAACAGGAGGTTGGGATTCACATCGTGTAGTACTAGACATGTCATTGTTCTTCGAAGATGTAAGTGACAAGCTGAAACTTCTGCATGCCCGCAACGGCGAGGGAATCGATGTCGCGGGAGATGGGCATGTATTGTTGCGTATTAAACTTCGTTTTTCTAGTTGGCATGGCAATGGAGATTTTGGTTCATATTTAAATATATTCGATTCATCTAAGATCGTATTATCATGTGCGGGATCAGGGTGGATAACAACTAATGCACTAGTGTATAAGCGCGTCGCCCGATCCTCAAGCAAACTCCTACCCCTGGCAGCTTGGGAAGCTTCACTGAGTTCCACAGTGGAACTGGATGGTTTAACCACTTCCTCGCTTGACGAGATACTACCTACCCCTTTGGTTGACCGTATACCCGTAGGTTCACTATGTGATTTACCTGAAATATATTTTAACTGCCTTTCGATACAAGTGGGCATAGATCCATGTAAAGATACCTCGTGGATTTTGGAGTTCTCGACAGGTTCGACGTTATCTCGGCAAAGCTCTTCATCCTTTTTATGGCTAGATCGCCCTATAGCTCGATTTATAACTTGTATCAATCCCATGCTGAGGTGAAATACTCCCACATAATTGATGAAGCTGTGTTCCGTTTCCTATTCATTTTAAATATTGAGATAATATCCAGACTTTATGTTTCATATTTTAGCTGTTGATAACTTGTACTATTTTTGTTTTTTATCAATCTTATATCAATTGCAGCAGCATGTATTTAGAGTTTATAGAATATACTTTCCTGTGTATATATATTATTTACAGTGTAGTCTACTAGTCTCTCAGAATGCTTCTATATGGATAAATAATCTTATTTATTTCAAGATGGTTGTAGCATATATTCTTTTTACTTCTATTGTGATAATGTGGTTTTAAAAACCACATTACCACAGCGGAAGCTGTTCTTGTTTTCTTTTTCTTTTTTAAAACAGAAAATATCAAAACAATGAAACATAGCATTCTATTTGTATCTATTTTTAGAGGGCTATGAGTCCTATGATATAATAGAATTTTGTTTTTGTATTTTTTTTAAAAAGCGATAAGATAAAAATTACAATGACAAAACCGTAGTCTTCTATGATAATTTTGAAGAACTATGTTCTAAAATTTAACATTGTTTTTAAATTTTAATAAAAACAAAACAGAATTAGAAGAAGAAAAAATGGGAATCAGGTGATCACTGATCCGGGATCCATCCCCTCCAACCATTCAGAGTGTCTACTAGAGCCGCCCCCCCCCCCCCACCCCCCAGGAATTAGAATCCAGCCTCCTAGAGTAGAGAGTCCTGCAGGACCCCCTCGCTGGCTCGCTCCCTACAATTCTCGACTATTTACTCTTGAAACCACCTATTTTTTAAATATATGAAACTCTTTAGTATTTTTTTAAAACCCAAAATATTCACTCTACTCCTTATTTATAATACTCAATTTATCATCGTCGGAATTATCACGATCTTACTGAATAACTCTCTCTCTTCTCTCTCTCTCCTCTGTGTTTGTGTGTCTCTATACGGCACCAATGAAAATAAAACTATTAATGCCTGAGCCGTGTCCAATCCGCATCCGGTCCATCCGCAAGGGCAGGGTCGATATTTATGGGCCCGCGAAAGGCGACCCTGGCCCAAATACCGGGGCTCCGCCTATATGGAAGGATGCGTTGGAACCCCTATTCGAGCGCTTTAACTCAGCACTCATCCAAGCAACAGCCATCATCACGGGCACTAAATACCCTCGATTTCCCAAACATCAAACAAACTTACTTCACTTTTTCGGCCTGCTCCCCGCGCGACCATTCGCGGACTACCTCGGAGGTTGCCTGGGAATACAACCCGACTCAATGGCAAGCACAAATCCACTTCACTTGGCCCAAGCTTCAAACGGGAATTTACTGACCACTTCTTCCCATCAATCTTTCCTGAACCACTACAGCGACTATGAGAGCCATACCATATGTTCATACATTGTATCATACATACTTGCCATTTTTGAAATTAATAATATTATCCCTATTACGCGTGTGCACTTAGCGGCCGGTGGGCAGTCGTGCACTCAAATAATAATATTAACAACGTATACGTGTACACATGTTGAGAACAATGTGAGATGGCTTTAGTTATTAATACTTTGCAGCCTGAGGATGATATCAGCCTAACTAACAATTTCAAAGGGTAGTACATTGTGTTTCTGCGACTTACACCCCCTTCAAAATCAAAAACACTTAGTATAATATACTATTTAGTACCGTTTTTTGTATTAATAACACAGACCTGAGTGGCTGAGACTCTATATGTCACTGTCTATATTACTATTAATTCAATATTGACTGAAGAAGGCTCACGCTGAAAAAGATATACTACATATCTTAATTAATAAAAATGTATATTTACCGAAACAACAGTCAAGTATCAGTTTTCGGTACACAATCTATTTACACCTATAATCTGAAATGGAATATATCAATACAACGCCTCAGACTAGAGTCAATGTTCTGTTGAACTTGTGAGCGTCTATTCGTGGACCCATACTTCTGAATATTATTTTATTAAAAAGATATCGTTGGTTCGCACGATTGCACTGTAAGTACTACGTAAATATCTGCCTGTTGTACGACTCTGTGTAGTACTCTGTATCTCTGGTATTGTAGTTTCCAGCTATTTTGACCAGGAATTCCTGCTTAGCACGGGTTCCGCAGTCCCCTCATTTCACAAGTTTTCAACGTTCTCGGCAGTGATACCCTGGTCCTAATTGGTGTATAATTTTTTTCAAACCAAAATATAAATAGATATACAAATTATATTGGAGGATAGCTCAAAATTTGTTCAAGCTTTTTTGTTTTCAATATTTACTAAGAAATCGATAGTTTAGAAAGGATATTTTGACCAGCTTTTGCAGATTTTGTCCTGTTCTTTTTGTCCTTCTAAATTGATTGTTTCGTTTCAAATTCAATGTTCAAAACATGTTTTCGTTGTTTGTTGTTTTGTGATTTTCTGCAAAATAAAAACATCTTGTATTTTTTTCAATATTTCAATGAAAGTAGATAAGATGAACATTGTGTTCACACTCACTCACCTAATAATATGGCTGTTGGAGAGGAAGTGGCGTGGCTTATTGTTAGCGCCTGGTACTACTATCACTTGTCTTTATCTGATATTAATAAGCTATTCAACGCAAGTGAAAGTACAATGCGTCGAATTTTAACATGTTGGAAGTTCACCGGCTTTCCAGTTCCTGTCAGACGCGCTCGCAAAAGACGTGAGGATCTAATCAGAGATGAAAGGTTGATCGGATGTATCCGACGCATATATGAACGTAATCCGTCAATATATTTAGATGAGTTGCAAAAGACTGTCGTTAGCGAGGATGGACGAAAGGTTTTATACACAACTATTCTTCGAGTTCTAAAGCTTGATCTGAAGTTCACCCGCCGTGTAATGGAAAAGGCACGATATGCCTCATTCAAATCACAGACAGACTATATGTGTGTGTTAAGTCAGATTTATTCGTGCGCTAATCAGCTCGTATTTGTAGATTGAGGCGTCGAGAGACGCCAGATCAACGTTCAGGA